CCATGAAACCTAATAAAGGGTGGAGCAGAGGAATGTAATAACCAAATAAAAACTCTTTGGCTTACTAAAGAATGTGTCTGTGGGACTGTAGGTAAATACCTTTTTGCCTGCAGAAAAGAATGAGAAATTCCACAGCCTGAACTCTAAACATTTAAACGTTTCCCTAAGAAGAAATGGTCTTACTTAATGCATTGGTTCAATTTCATAATATTGTCCAGGTTGTAGAATTATGGCATTGCCCATCAAATGTGGCCTGTCAGACAGAATTACTCCAAAAGTCTGGAACTGTGCACAAATGGGGCCTTTCTACCTTCCCAGCCAAAAGCTCAAGCTGCTGAACATCCCCCCCAGGAGCGCCTTTGTCTGTGGCCAGGGCAACTGAGACATCAGGGCTGTCAGTGGGCACTGGCCTGGTCACAGGGCAGGGACATGAGAACAAACTGGGGGAACTGGTTTAACGCAGTCCATGGGTGTCTCTCCATCAGCTTCCTCAAGCACCGAGAGTGGGCATCTCCCTGATGGTGCTTATTTCATCCTTCCCTTGAAAACTATGGAAGATCTCGGATGCAGTTTAGTCATTCTGTCTTCCTGAGGATCTGTGCACTGTTCATGTGCTGTTTTCTTTCTGTTCCTCACTTGGGTTTTATCAGCTGCTTGTATTCTGGATGCACAGGGTGGGATTTGTTTCAACATCCTTGCTTTTGCTTCTTTGATTATGAGTTACTAGTTATAGATACCCTGTACATCTCTGTGCTTCTTTAGAGAAAAAATATCTTCATATTGTTTAACTGGGTGAAGCTATTTGATTTTGAAGAAGTCAAATTTAGATTCAGGTGAAGACTGTTTGCTTCCAAGCATGGCTCAGTTTTGAGAGAGGTGCTTAAAGGAGAAGAAAAGATCAAATATAAGCGAGATTCTATTAAATTGATTTCAAGGCCTGTTAACCCATCTTAACATTTCAAAGTAATCAGTAGCTCCTCTTTAAATACTTTCAAAAGGTTTTTTTTAATAATATGCAACAAATTATCCCCTTTCACTGCCTCTTGTATTTGCACTGTATAAATAAGAAATTATTTAGGGAAGAAATTTGGCTAGAAAAGAAAGTGAAAACCAAGGTCTTCGTGTGTTGTGACATTCAAGATGTTTCAGTTTCCACTCAGCTTGAATTGACATGTGTGTGTCACGTGTGACACATGTGCAGTGAGAGCTGCAGGGATCTGTGTGTGCACAGTGTGACCCACAGGAGTGATGCTTGTTGAGGGGGGTATAAGGGAGGGATCAAACACAACCATCCACAAGTGTGGGTATGGAAAGTGTGAGTTGTGTTAATGCTCTGACAAGCCATGGAGAGCAAAGGTGGTGCTGGTGGTTCTTTAGGTGAGGAGAGACTGTTCATCTGGGGAGAACAGTGAGTCTGAGAACCATCTGCCTCCTGACTCACTGCCTCCTTTACAGTTTATTTTCTCTTTTTGCTTAGTAGTTTTTACTATTCTATCTGAGTGGGGTTTCACAGCTAATGGGAGTTTTCTGGCAAAGATAATATTTTTTAAAGACTTTTATTGCTGGGTTGTGTTCTTGGTGGTTTGGGGGGTGTTTTGTTTTGTTTTGTTTTTTTTAAATCTAAATTCTAGAGAGCTGAGCAAACAACTTCCTTGGGGGAAAAAAACAGTGTTAGTTCACATGCATACAGGGAAGATCCTACCAACTCTGCTCCTTCCTTCCAGAGTGTAGGTTCTATGAGGTAATTCTGAGGTAATGGTGATGTCATAAATGCAGAGATTGGTCTTGTCTTCTGCTCTTAAAAGGATGTCTTTTTCTTACTGTTGAAAATACTGAAGTAGTGCTGATACTGAGACAACTCATGAATTGGCTCCTTCAGGCTGATATTCACCTCAGCTTTCCAAACTCATGAGCAGTTTACCCCCCCACACAGTGACTGTACTTGGGTGCCCAGCTGGTGCATTTTAAATTAGCAGTCATTATACTGCTGAGTCACTTCTGATTGTGATCTCAAATCCACCAGTGCTTTGTATCATCTGGGGAAGGTTCCTTTAGCATGTTCCTTATGTTTCTGTCCTGCTGGCTAAGATTCACTTCATTCTTTCTCCTAGTCACTAATTAGTTGTATTCAGTTTCTCATCATCTGTTTAGTACAGTGTATATATGTATGAGTATTTCTTAAAAATAAAAGTAGCATTTTTGCCCTGCATTTGTGTTGGAACAGATTCAGTTGCTACAAAGCTTAGATACTGAGTTTGGCCATAATCCCTTAAAGTTGTTCTCTTCCCAGAGTGTCTGCAATTCTTTTTAACTAGTCCCCTCAATATTTCCAGCTTTCCTTCTGTTACTACATCTTGATTATGTTACAGTTCAGGAGTGTTTCCCTTGTGCCCTGGTGATCCAGTGCAGTTTGTGGCCCTTCGCTGAACTCACTCCAGTATGTCCATGTCTTTCTTTTGAGGGTCCACAAATGGACATAATACTTCAGATGAGTCTCACCAGGGCTGAATAGAGAGGAAAAGATCACCTCCCCTGCTATCCTAATGTGGCCCAAACATAATGATACAGTTGTGTAAATAGTATAAAAGCATAAATGTTTCACCACCCTGGAGGTGAGAACTTCAGGAAACGACTGGACATGGCAGTGCTGTGGTGTAGGTGACAAGGTGGTGGTTAGTCAAAGGTTGGACTCAATCTCAGAGGTCTTTTCCAACCTAATTGATTCTGTGATCTTAAAGGTCCCTTCCAACATTAACAATTCTGTGATTTTATAGCCCACAAACTTTTAGTTAGTTGGAGTAAGCTGGGTTTAGCAGCCAGTCCTCGTGGATGAGGCTGAGAAGGGCCTCATCCTCCTGGGGCAGAAGGTTTGCATTCTAGCAGGGATAAGTACTTGCAGAAAAAGGCAATTTCTAAGAAAGCAAAGGTGTTCCATTTTTAAGGTTAATATAACCAGGTAATTGCATATGAAGTAGGAAAGGACTGTGATTCATTTGGGGGACAGGGAAATCAACTGGTTTCCAATTTCTTTCACAGTGTATTTCTCTGTAGCTGTGGTGCAATCAAGAGCCAACCAACATCATCTGCTGCCAGTAGGAAATCTCCATGTCAGTCCTTACCCTTGGCACAGGATAAAGTTGCAACTGAGCCTATGAGGAGGAATTAACAGGAAAAATCCAATTCATGTTCAAAGGTAAACTTTGACCAATGATGAATAACAAATATGAAAGTAAACCCTGCACTTTTTCTTATGTTGTATATTGTTTAACTTCATCCTGTTTGCTTTGCACTGTTTCTGCAGTGGTGCAGGCAGGGTAGAAATATAGAAATACCTTTAGGATAACTGTGTTTTAAATTCCAGCAGTCTTAATAGGTTGACTGGCATCAACTACTCTTGTAATGCCTGCTTTAATTTTTATTTGATATTTGTAGAGAACACTGCCTAGAGGTAAGGGTTTCCTGTTTTCAGGAATAAAAAAGTAGGTACAAAGTGCAGTAGAGCAGATGTATTTTTGTTATGAATGGATTTGGCAAGAAAAATTCCCATGCCAGACATTGTGTCATATTCACATGATCTGCTTCCTAACAGGTCCCTGGGTGATGGTGCCCCCAGGAGAGTTCCCTGGTAAGGGTGTCCCCCCCTAGACTGCTCATAAACACAGTCACAACTGCTCAGCAGCTACAGCACTGAAAGAGAATAAAATAATAAAACAAATAAGCCCTGTAAATTAGTGTAGTATCAGCTGTGTCCCCTCCCAGCCTCTTGCCCACCCCCAGCCCAGCCACTGTAGGGGCAGAGCAGGACACTGCCAAGGGCTGTGGCTGTGTGAGCACTGCCCCAGAGATACAATATTGATGTGTTTGTTATCAGTGCTGCTGCAGCCACAACTCCAGAGAAGGAACGAAGAAAATTAACTCCATCCCAGCCAGACCCAGGACAGTGGAGAATATATAAAGGACAGAAGTATTGACAAGGCAAATAAAAGCACAAATCCTAAACTCTGTTGTGTCTGTGTTAGTATTAGGAAGGCAGAAGGGCTCTAGGCTAGCCAGGCATTTAAATACTTGCTAAACCTCAGTTTATGAGGAGTGACAATGATGTGGTGATTGTGCCTTTAATGAACAGAACCTGTGGTTGGCTGAACTGGAGTCTTCAAGTTGCAGGATTATTTACAAGCTGCACATAAGAAAAATCAATAAAAATATGAAATGTTAAGATAGAGAAAACCTTTCAGTATGAGTGATGGACAGCTTCTGGGCTAAGGCAGAGAGGGATGATAAATGCTGTTTATTTTAATATGCTGTAACATGAATGTTTTAGCATTTTTAATAGTCTTGTTTGGGGAAGAGAGGAACAACGTGGGTTACATCACGTTGGAGTACATTCTAACCCCTGTCTCTCCTTGGCAGATGGATTCCTTGTAGCCCACCAGCGAGTCCTGCTGCTGCTGCATGTCTGGCAGCACCTCTGGATGAGCACATGACTCTTGATATGGATGCAGTCCTGTCAGACTTTGTTCGGTCCACAGGGGCAGAACCAGGTCTGGCAAGAGACTTACTGGAAGGTAAGGTTTTGGGACACAGCCCTTTCCTATGTTCACTGCTTAAGGCAAGAACCAGTCATAAAAAGAGAACTCTGGTCCATGGAAACAGGTATTTCTTAGTATTCTTGCTAAATCAACTCTCATGATAAGCTAGCCATAGATTATACTAAGGCAGGGGTTTCCAACAAAAGCCTTAAAAACTTGTTAATGTTAGATTGCTGTGTTTTAAGAGTCATTCCCTAAATGTTTATGTGCAAGGGAGGGAAGGGAGGTCAATTCTGTCATATTCAGCTGCCTGAAAGTAGTTGTAAGAGTTTCTTAACTCAATGTGCAAAGCAGGAAAGTTTAGTCTGAAGGAATTTATTGTAAAGTGATAGAGACACCAGAGATATTTTTGGGGCCCAGTGATTATCTGCCTATGTGAACTTCACACTATGGGAGTCAAATGACTATGTTGAAAAATATCTCAGAAGCCATATCAGAAAAATAACTCTGTCTATTTATTTATTTATTTATTTATTTATTTATTTATTTATTTATTTGTAGATGGTTTAGGTTTATAGGCTTAAAAGTGGAAAGACATTGATATTTGAAGGTATTTTGTACTAGTTGGCTTTGTTCATGTCTCAGTAACAAGGTGTGGTACATTATTAACACAGAGGCACACACAGTGCTGCAGAATTTCCCAGTCACCTGTTATATGTACTAAAACCTTGGAACACCTTGCTAGGAATATCAGCATAGGCTTGCTATATTTAGGAGCCCTCTGTTTTGTCTGACTGATTCGATCAGCCTCTCATTCTAGCCCAGAGTCTGTCTGGGTCTGACGGTCTTCTTGAAAAAGAATATGAGAAGGTTTTCTCGGCAGTGTCAGGACAGATTGTCACTTATTGTGCTGACAGAGCATTGCTAAAATTGGAAAAAGAGTTCCTACATATGAGAGGTGGTTCAGAAGAGTTACTTATTTTCCTTATTATAAAGGGTAATGCTTCCAAATAAATATAGAATTTTTCTATGTTGAACTTCTCATTTCTGTAGATTTATAAATTCATATCATACTTACAAAGAGATAAGCAATAAACAATTTATTATTCTGACAGGCTAATAGACATATGCATCTAGCCCAAATGATTTCCTCCTACACAGGAATTTCTCAAAGTAATCTTGAGAAGAGCAACCCCCCACCCCGTGGTGCACAAGGCTGCAGGGAATGTTTGTACCTGGGCTTGCAATGATGAGGCCTGTAGTTTCAATCAAAGTTGGAAAACAGGTGTGCACAAATATTTTTCAGAACTTTAGAGGTTTGGTTGTTTGTAGCCCCAAAAGTGACTGTCATAGTGAAAGCTGAGCCAAAAAAACCCTGCTAGTGCAGACCCTCATTTCCATGTAATCACAGGTTTTGAGCAGTTCTCCTGTGGTGCCACAGCACTTCACTCTTTCTGACCTGCTCACAATTTCTGTTTTTGTAACTTGCTCAAACTGAATGTTCACATCATGCTTCTGTGGAGTGATATCTCTCTTTCAGAGCCATTGCTAATACTGTTTCTTTTATTCCTCTTTTTGGGGAAATTTCTTCAATTTCACGATCCTGTAGCTAATCAAGGATACCAGTTTCTGCTTCCTTATCCAATTATCTTAACATACTAATCATTTTGCTTTGTGCTGTGGATGTAGCAGGACATTATTGTGCACAATATATGTGTTCTTCATCCTGGAACAAATGGGTGAATTAAATACACACTGTTGTAGAAATAGCTGAAAAATCTATACATTGCATACAGATTTTCTGCATTGCCAGGAGCTGTCCTGAATGTGGGCTCAGCTGATGTTTCTATACTCTGCCTATCCTGCTGGTAAAATCCCTGCAGTTTTCTTCCACTGAGCTTTTTATTGAGCACAGCTTCTTGTCTCACTGTCTCACTAAGACAATTCTCTGGTTTGCTTGACACATATCTTTCAGTAAGTGTCCATTCCAGATTTGAAATGGAGAAACAAGGAGATTTAAGAAAATACGTATATACACACACGTGTTGATTCTAATTTATTTGTGTCTGATTATTTTTGCCAGCTATTAGTATCTTAAAATAAGTAATAATATGAATCAATTGCTTTTGTATCTAATTTTGATAAACTGAACATGTTGAGCTGCAAGTCTCGTTTCAGTCTCTATATTTTCTCTGTCATTCAAAGCAATGTATACAGAATGTATAAAGAATGTATGTATGTGTGAGCTATTTTGGTTTTTTTTTTCAGTACATATGCCATCACATTGCATATGTTGTTTATATTTTTGGCCAAGTTTGCTTTAGTACTGCACAGGGAGCTTGTAGTTAAGTCTATGCTTGGTTTGACATTTCAAAGTTATTAATTTTAGAATTCTCTACAATTGTTTAACTCTTATGGAACTCAGATTTCACAGACCTAAAATCTGAAAGGCATTTATTCAATGATATGAGAACTTTTATCATGCACTTCTGTAAATGGATGTGAATGCAGACTTTTGAAGCTGCACCAAAATTAAAAATTAATTTGTTTTTCATAGTTCTGCCTGAGAAATTAATTTTATTTTCATGAAATTGCTATGTCTGTGTTCAGGAAAGCCTTGTATCTGTCTAATCAGCAATTCATTGGTGGATAAAATTGCATTAGAAATGGCTTAGTTTGTATTTGTCCAATGCACAAATTGTGTTTCATTCCTACTTTTCAAATACTACTCATTGAGATTTAAAGGCCATTTGTAGTTAGTTCCTATTTGCTGTGTGAGACACAGCTGTGGGAATGACATATACAGGCTTGGACAAAGTAGAAAGCTCTGTGGAGGCAGCACGGGCTTAGCATTTAACAATACATAGACCTACACTTTAGTAAGTCATCTCTCTTCATTTTGGGGTTTTCTTGACTTTTCTTGAGTATTGCAAAGAACCTTCCTTCTGGTTTATTTTGATAATTTGGTAGATTTATAAACAGCCCATTTCTGCTGTTAAACAAAACAGTTGAAAGTTGAAATTACAATATGAGAAATCATAGAACTATGTGATATGATTGATTCAGTGATTTTTATTATTAAATGGTATCTAAATATTTCAAAACTTAAGCCTTTCCGTAACTATAACAGTGGTGATGTTTATGACTGAATGACAAATACATATGTGCTAAATAATAATATAGGCATAACAAAGAATGTTAATTTATAGTCATGTAGAGTTCTGTAAGTGGCATCTTGTAAAGGACAGGTGATGTTTGCAAGCAGAGGTTTTGATAGCACAAAGTCCTTTACCTGGTTACTCATATGCATCTGTTAAAGATATAAACCCATAGGAGTTTATGGATGCTCAGTAACTCAGTGTAATGAGAGCTTAGGTTTTAAACCTTTATAGGTTTAAAGGTGAAGACTCTTCTCTCCCCTTTCTCCCCTTGCTTGTTTTTGAGCATCCCAGTCAGTGCATGGCCATGTGTAGGGTGGGGACCCAAGGCAGCTGAGACCGTGAGAGGAGTCCCCTCCTGGGGGACCATGTCCAGCCCACTCAAACAGAAGATCTCCCTGCTCAGGAGGCTCCCATGTGCCCCTGCCTGTCCCAGTGGGAATCTGTGTGTGCCCACAGTGTGCCTGAGCCAGAGCTGAGCCAGCTGTGTCTGGGCTGAGTCCTTCAGATGATCAGTCTGCACATCCCCATCTGCCCTCCAGCAGGAGCTGCAGTACTCAGACTGCTCTGTTAGTTAATGCCAGTGGCTCGTGCATAGGATGCTTCAGGCTTGGTTTTGGTTGCTTGTTCCTCTTGGTACCTCTGTTTGCATTTTGTACTGAAGGACTTTTTCTTCCTCTGCTCAGCACTCCTTGCTTTCTTCATCTGGATGATGTCCTGGACCACCCTGACTATTTCCATCCTTCTCTTCAGTTGAAAGAACAGCTTTCTACCAGCCCTGCCACAATTTTTAGCTACTATTACAGCTGAATCATTAAAATGGGAAGGACAATTCTTTCGACTTGGTTATGATTGGAAGACTTTGCAAAGCTCATCCTTCTTGTTTAGGACTCCAGGGAGGGCATTTGGTCAAGAGCTATTTACATCTTTATCTCTCATCCTGTAGAGACTTTAGACACCCAGCAGGAATTACCTTTTGAGAGCCTGCACATTAACAGATGAGTGTCATCAAATTCATGGCATTTCCAAGATATCATAAATCCTGATGTTTTTATCTCAATAATTACAAATCAAACAAAGAAGGATGAGTGCAAATAAAAGGACACCAAAAGCTTTTTGCTGACTGTACCAGATAATAAAATCATGGGTTGGGGAGAATATATGAGCACCACATATGTCAGCAAATCAGAGTGGAGAGTGACTGGGACAGTGGCTTTGGCTCTCAGCAGCATTTGGCTCGTTGGGAAGCTGGATGTGACATTACACAGTGTGATGGTTCAGGAATCAGGTGTGCTTAAAGCAGATCACTTTGTACCAAAAGCATCTGCTACAGACCTGCAGACCTGAGATCCTGTCTCTGTGCACTCTTATTTAGGAGGAAAGAAGACTAAAAGTTTGTCTCTCTTCCAAAAAAACCCACCACTGATTTATTCAATCAACTTGCCTGAAAACAAGAGCGTTCCCATCACTGTAAATCTTACTCTAACAGCCTTTCATATAATTCCTTGAGAAAAAGGCTTCATTTTGAACTTGATCTTGTGCTCCAAGAGCATGGTGTGAACCTCTGTATCTTTTCCTAAGTTTAAAAACGCTTTTAAAAATTGCATTTAAATCTCACATTGAATCTTATGCACCAGGACAAGATTATTACCAATCCTTTCTCCCTATGTATTCTTCAAAACTATATAACCCCCTGTTTTTAAAACTTAATGATTGTTGGTATTATTATCCTGTCTTTATAAGGAACTTACTAACTATAGGAAACTAGATGGTTGAAAGTCAGTCAGATAATTTTTAGAAAGGACATAGTTTGGGGCATAGAAGGACACATTCTGTATTATTGTAGAAGAGTCTTTCCATTAAATGCAGAAGCATTTT